TATATATATATATATATATATATATATATATATATATATATATATATATATATATATATATATATATATATATATATATATATGTTTTGTTTTTGTCTATTTTATCTTCATCTTCTGATCTCATTGACCGTCTCTCCTATTTACCGATAATAGACAAAGTCCACAGGTTCACGGCAGGTGTCGATATGCTCATTAATTGTAGCTAGTAGGGAGCGATGTGGACGCAACCATAACGAATGATTGTGGCGAGCGTTCTCAATTTAGAGAACGTGGGAGAGATGCCATGCATCGAAGACACTAAAACCCCATTGCCTTTCTTTCTGACTTCAGTTAGTTAGATTCTATTATCGATGACTCGGTCGTCATTTACTTGTGAATTCCTATCATTCCCCTCGAAAAACCCCTCTTTCGCTTCGAACTGGTGATGCAAATCGCTCCACGAGGATTGAGACTTTTTGTGAGATTTCCAATGTAGGATACCGAGTTTGGATATGATTGGAGTAGGATGTCAGTCATATTTATTACTCAACTCACTCACACTGCTACGAGTAGCAACTTGTTCTGCAACTGTCGTACAAAGATGATGAATGGTTGGGATCCGGATTCGATGCCTTGTTGCTCTTTTGTTTATGAACAGAATTTTTCTTCTCATGCTGGATAGCAGCATCAAACTTTGTTCCTTGAAGTGACCAGATACATCCAGGATTTTATACAGTTAACCTACACGGCGCAGAGGAACCCATCGACTGTTTCACCAATCGACACCTGCGATGGCAGGCATTGACCTGCAGGTAACGCGTGGGTTTCTGTGTACGCTTTCGATCGTCCGGAATCTGAAAGGACGCAGTCCCCAGAGGTCTCGGCAGCAGCCGTGGTGGTGGTTGGGTCGCATTGACTTCCCCGGGGCCATCCTTTTCCTCTCGCGCTCACATCACACTGCCCCATATGCTTCCGAGTTTGAGAGCATTCGGTTCTCACAGGCAACTGCTGGTACTGCATCACCGTCATGACCCCAAGCCACCAATTTTTTTTCCAAGGGGTGGGTGGGTGGGCTCACTAATGTCAACTGCACAGCTCCATTAATTATTTTCCAAGGTTTTTTTTTTACTTTCACCTCCGTAGAAGCCATGTCCGATGATGATCAGAGGGGGGGGCTCTTAGAGGGAGAGGGAGAGAGAGAGAGAGAGAGTGTGTGTGTGTGTTCTTGCCAATGTGGCAGCAGCATCGATAGAGAGAGTCGGATCAAAAAAATGCATGCAGGAAAAGAATCGCATGTGTGGTGCATGTGAAGTAGTGGGGAATGACAGAAATATGGCTCATGTCTCACAAGCACGCATGTGTCCCGCATTCCTCACTGGTCCCCGAGACGACCTGGACTGCACTCGCCCATAGGTTCTTCTTCTTGCGTCGTCATGATAGCTCCAAACCAGAGACCATATCCGGTACAAAGATTGATATCGATGGATCTCCCCCATCCATCGATGTGGCATGAACTGGCCGTGATGGATTCTCCCGATCCTCCACAGGACTTGTGGTCGTACACGAGAGAACACGCACTAGATCTCGTTGCAGCTCTGCTCTCATCTGCAGCGCAAACTCAAACTCAGATTCAAAGCATGGGGGAACTGGAAACAATGCTATCTAGTTGCGGATGGCGAGTGTCTTATCATCGCCGTGAGGGCCGGAGTTCAAATCACAGTGAGTGATAAACCACACATTGATTTTTTTCTTTCCATAAAGAAGAAAGATGCTACCCTGGTACTTTTGGGATTACCGGGGGGTAAGGTAAGCTGACTGAGCTCCCAAGAGAGACAGGCCAAAGTTTTTAAGCGTGAGATGGAATCTTGCCCCACTTGTACTTTCGGGACCCTGTGACGGGTGGATACATCCATGTAATGATTGTGGACTGGTACACAAGCGGAGCATTTAATGGCATCACGCGAGGTGTTATCTCCTCCACCCCTGACTCAGCTCTGCTTCGGAGTCTCCGTGCTTCCTTTGGTGGGGTTTACGGTGGTGGTGGTGGTGAGTTGGCTGATTCGGCTGATAGACCTGTTGTCTGCTTCTCTTGTTGCTTTGTCCTCATTTTTGTTGGGAAGATTATGCCTCGGTTGATGCTAATCGGACTGTTGTCAGTGTGATGGAATGACTAATGGGACAATGTTAGATTATGGTGGTGTCATTCTCACAACCTTCGCTCCAAATTTCTCTCTGTCGAGTGGGTTCTTTGCCGAACATGCTACAAACTCAACAAGTTCCATTTGTATAAGACCTCAAGAATCTGTGCGGCAACACTTGGGTTGTTCTTTTCTTATGGGAAAGAAACAACGGTGATGCCTACCGATCCTTGTGTCTCTCTCAAGACAACAAGGCTTAAAAATCTCCTGTGACAGCAGAGTGCACCAGAGATTAGATCCATGAACATCTATCTATCTACATCATGTGAGGCCGATGAGTTGTTGGAACATCATCTACATGCCATGATCGAGGGATTTAATTGCTGATGCAACCTATATTTTGGTTCACAGCCAGAACCTCGAAGAAGTTGACGACTGTAGTCTTTCTTCTGGAGTCTGGAGCCGGCCTGCCTGCCTGGTAGGTCCACTAGCCCAAGATAAGCAAATCACTGTCACTCAGGCCGATCTCCGTGGACAGTGAACGATCAACTTTCAGATTCGTCGATCCATCTTGAAAGTAATCTTCACGGGGACTGAGAGATAACAGTCGAGGTTTTTGTTCTGCCACTCATGTTTCCTGGTTCTTTCCACCGCGAGTGAACTCCTACTTTCCACCTACAGAATCATAAGATTACTACTCTCTTCCTCTGAGGGAGAGTATACGAACAACAGTAATCCTATAAGAGAATGTGCGACGTGTTGTTTCTCATGTCCAGAAAAGAGTCTAATTCTGTAGACAGCAACTCGTGTTCCTTCCTGCGCATGCATCACAAAGCGGAACTCCCGAGGCAGATATCGTGTAGATAACACTTGAGAATCATTTGCAAATTTGAAGGCCAAAACAAAAAGTAATTGCTGACTTAGGGAATCATCAAACATGAAATACATGCTGAAAGATAGTGAGAGGGAATCTTTTGTATCATATAATTCAGAAAAATCATAACGTTATGGTTTCTTGAACCATAAACCATCCGATTGATAGAAAACTTGGCCTTATGGTTTTCTGCTTCTGGGGAAGTGCATTCTCAGGACACATTATTATTATTATTATTATTATTATTATTATTATTATTATTATTATTATTATTATTATTATTATTCAGAATCATTATTAATTTCCATCATCTTCTTCACCCAATTTTTTATTTACGGTTCAATCTGGGGATGCTTGTGACGTATGGACGACGACTTTATATATATCTTTTCTTTTCTCGGTAGGTGGATCGTACAGTATTTCTAGTGTCGGCACCAAAATTGGTGAACAAGCAAGCATACAAAAAAGTGCCTCTCTCTCTCTCTCTCTCTCTCTCTCTCTCTCTCTCTGGAAATCTTGTCTTTCTCCGGTCACCTTGAAGTTTCCATGAAAAGTGTTGATCAAAGTGGTGAAAAATGCAGTTCAATATTTATGGTGATGAACACAGATCTAAAATCGGTTGTTTGGTGAACCAATCGAACGACTTTGACCAGAATCATGATAAATAACTTTTGCGAGCTTTTTATCTTTTGAGGATGGCATGAAGAACAGACCATAAATTTCTTTCTTTTTGGAAGCTCGCAAGGTCCTTTAAAACTTGTCATAATCCCACATGGGGTTCACGGAGCCCAAGAAGAGACACCCAAAGTTCACCGAGGACTGCAAGCCTCCATTTTACCACGACTAATTTCTCGACCATTTGTCCTAACATTTTATCCAACAGAGATGACCGACCACCAAAAGAAAATACGACTCCCGAGGTGGAAGAATCACCGCAGCCGCCCGATGCTCAAACACCCAAATGTTCTTTGGACTTCACCGGCTTATCGTAGACGAAGCAGCATTTCGTTTTCCCCTGTGCCTCTGCAGAGAACTTTATCACGTGAGAAGAGGGCCCAAGTTTGTACCGCTGGCCAACTTTTTATAACGCAGAACGAAGCCTTCCTCTTTTGCTTTGTGAGCCAAGCAAAGAGGCTTTCGTCGTGTTCTTATTAGGAGTTGGAGTGCTCCGAAGCTAAAACAAGCATTTCCATATTATACGTAGAAAGGCCTTCCCAACACTCGAATCATGAACGCTTCAACTTTAAGATTGGATTTGAGAGTAGATAGATAGGTCCTGCCTTCACTTCTTTTATCAGCTAAAATGGCAACGGATACTCCAAACGACTTGGATCAACTCCTCATGCCTTCGAAGAAGTCTTCGAGATAAGATCCAATCAGTCTTCAAGTCCGTAGAGGTAGCAGCTAAAGAACAAAGGACATGGAATTAGTCCCAACCATGAACAGGAAGCCTCACCGCACCCACCGGGAAGGCAAGCAGGCAGGCAGGGCAGGTAGCATCAAACGCATGGCATGTGGTGCCCCTCTTCCCAAGCACGTGGAGTCGCAGGCATTCTGCCTCCTCCTCAGTCCACGCCGAGTGGTTTCCAACGTAAAGCATACGACCAACCTGTGGTATGATACGAGCGTCCTCCCCAGAGCACAAAAGTAAAGAAATCCTCATAGAAAGAGGAGAAGCTCTGCAAGTTTAATATAAGATTGCTCTGCTCACCTCCTTGGGATCCACGTTCAGATAGATACGCTGCATTTTCATCAGATTACATCGATGCCCTTTACCTCAACCCAACTTTCTGCTCCTTGCGTGGTTGTCACTGCATGACAAGAATGGAAGAAGGCTCGTCTTTCTTATTCTCCTGCCTGCTTTTGAGGTCCGACCACGTGAAGGGGAAGGAAGGAGGTGGTTGGAAGGTTATTATTGAAAGCTTGGTCTGCTCTTCTTCCTGTGAACGACATTATTTGCCCTTCTTCCATCAACGCATTATGGTGAACACCCATTTGGCTAGTCAATAATAATAATAATGTTTGGTACAGTTGCAAGGACGAGTCTGAATTGCCCTTTCCTCCTCATTTTGTTAAGTCAATGCGTAAAACCAAGAGCCGCTCTGCGATCTAACTCTTCGAGTTCGAGGACAGATCCGCCACTTCTCTACTCCATCAACATGAAGCGGCGGTGGAGACTCGTTATCTGTGACAATTTCCCCGATGGGCTCAGGAAAAGAAATGGTAAAGCCACCCCCACTTGCCTTGCTCATTTATGACCGACTAATCGAGTGTGCTGTATGCGTCGATCATGACACATTAGTGTGTCTCGATCATAGCTGCTGTCGAATAGTAAATTCGTATGTGCTACCCAGGCCAGGCATCACTGCTGTCATTCTTGACGACGCATCTGGGACTACCGTTAAACACTTCTTTCGAGTTTACCGCAGATTGGTGTTCGATCAGCACTCGGAGATAAATTATTATATAGAGGTTCGATACACTTACTATAATCAATCGAGTAAACTCGGTCTAAAAATCTCGTATTTCCTAGATCGCTGCGGCTTATAACCATGTTTACGAAGAACACTGTTAGTAGCTGAATCTTCTGCAGATGCTATATAGATAGATAGATAGATAGATAGATAGATAGATAGATAGAACGAAATACTCATGTAAACATCCTACGATTGAGCTTCCTCCATCACTATTTCTTTTATCTTTCTATGGCCTTCATTCACCTAAGAACACTCGGGACCCACATGATCGCTTCCTTTCTTTTGCATCGCCCTGTTGCGTGTCCCACCAATCTGCAAAAGACGTTCCAACTTCGACTCACAGATCGAACACTGTGCACGAGAAAAAAAGTAAATTTTGTGGAATAGCAACTCTCACGGTCACGTTTGGGTAATCCTTCTTCTTTATAAAGCCTTGTTTTTCTTGCCCTCTTTTAGTTGGTGGGTCTTCGTTCCTTCCTCTACCGTCCACCGCAAAGGTGGAAATAGACTGAGTTGAGAGGGAGAATCCAAAATCTCAAAGTCCTTGCAGCTAAAGATCCCATTTTTATCTCTTGTTTCGATCTTCTTGGTTTCTCTCAAGCAAATTGAATTCCCTCAGTTTGCTGAATTCGACCACTGTTTGACGTGATCCTGCCGGTTTTCTTCTGTTTCATGGATATGTTCTCTTTACTGAGAAGAGATGGCGAATGATGATCCCAAGGGGTTTGTAGCGGTTGAATAAGAGGAGAGGCGAACAAAGGAAGAGAAGCTATGAGCTTCAGGAGAGGAGGAGAGTTGTCGGCAAGGGGATTGGTGTCCAAAAAATGGACTTTGTTGCTCTGCCTTGGAAGCTTTTGTGCTGGTCTACTCTTCACCAACAGGTGCCGATTTCCTCTCTTTAGTTTCTTCACACTTTGAGCCTTTTGCTGCCGCCCTTTTGTTTACTTGTCGTAAAGAAGGATCTTCTGCTTCTGCTCATGGTTTGTTGAATTGTATTTTTTGCTAATTTTTTTCTTCTAAATTCTTTATTGGACTAGTTTTTGTCATATCGATCAGTCGATCGCATTTTTTAGTTTCGGATTAGTTTTAACTTGTCACTTTTAGCTGCAGATCAGCCGGAATAAACAATTGGCCTGATACAAATAGCAACACTGATTTGTGTGACAATGAAAACTTGGGTTCTGTTTGGAAATTTTAGGAAGCTCAGATTGTTGGAAGATATGGTGCCACAAATAATTTATTGTTATCATCAGAAACTATACTTTGTTCTCAGTTTGATACAAGGATGAGTTTTGAGAATAGGAAGCCGAGCACTCGTAATTTGGCTTGTTTCTTAAGGCAAATGCTAATTGTTACATTTTCACCTTGGTTCATGCCCAAAGCTTGTGCAAAGTTGGTCATATATTTTGGCCAGATAGCTCTGGCTTGGGTCAGGCTGTGTTTTGGTGTACTGGTTTTTCTTTGTTACTTTGCTGATAATGATAAACAGATTGATCTCAAGAGTATATGTCTTTTTATATCAATACAGCAGCTTAGATATGTGAGTCGTAGCAATTCTGCTTTACACGTTCTCAGCATCATTCTGTGCTTCAACAAGTTACAATTCTTTTGTTATGCTTTTTAGTTTTCGGTGGGACCGACCGAATTGAAATGCTTATGTAGAAAGATGATCATAGGTGCAAACTTCATTCCTTTGACAAATGATGCTTTAACTGTCTTTAGTTTGAAGCTTCGTTTACTTTTTTATAAAATTCTTTGCTTGAGTGTAGCATCTACTTTTTGGCAAAACTATGACTCATCAGATACTGAGTCTGAACAATGGTGACAGTTGGATGATGCCTGAAGCAAAGGACATTATCAAGACAACAGGAACCAGAGACAATAAGATGAATCTTGTTGCCAACGACTGTAATTTAAGAACAGTGAGTGTGTTAACCTTCATGTCATATTGATGTTTCAATTTAATTACTAATATGAGCATGTGGTTATGCATGTTGTGTTGCTGTTGGCTTGTTGCATTCTGCTTCTTCCTTAAGCTACCGATTAACCAGCATCGCCATGTTGATGTCTCATGATCACGCATCGTGTTTTTTATGTATTTCAGAATAATGAAAAACAAGAGCCTAAAGATATACCCAACAAAATTTCAAATGCACAACAAGCGATACAGTAAGTCTTAGTATTCTTTGCGTAATTGTAATTCTTTCAGTATTTAAGTTTTAGTCATAATGGTAGTAGTACATGTGATGACACCTAGGAGATCCAATTAGTTACCATATGCTCAGTAATAGAACTTTGTGCAGGACACTAGATAAAACAATATCGAATTTAGAATTGGAATTAGCCGCTGCCAGAGCTGCACAAGAGTCAATACTCAATGGTGCTCCATTGGCAGAGACTCTAAAGGCTACCGAAACTACTGCTCCAAGGAAATATCTGATGGTTATAGGAATTAATACTGCATTTAGCAGTCGTAGGAGAAGAGACTCAGTTCGTGCTACTTGGATGCCTCAAGGTTCTACTTCTACCTTCATTTTCTTCTTGTTGCATGATAATTTATTGCATCTGATCATCAAATTCTTTCTTTGTTAAAAAAAAAAATGCAATAGGCGAAAAAAGAAAGAAGCTGGAGGAAGAGAAAGGTATTATTATTCGCTTTGTTATTGGTCACAGGTGAGTACCTGAAATTCTACTTTCACCGTGAAACATGTTCTTGTAGATTATTCCTTTCTTTGCTCTGTCCATGTTCATCGCTCTCTCTCTCTCTCT